TGAGGGGAGCAGCGGGCGGGTCAGGAGAGGTCTGCCACGCCATGTGGTCACCTCGGGGGCAGGCGGGAATCGAACTCATGTGGAAGTGGCTTACGCTTCTTAGTGCAGTGCTTTAACCCGCTGAGCCACCAGGGAGGGCCCAGTTACCATATTTTTTCCTTTTTTCCGACAACCCAATGTATGAGCAAAACAGAACAGAACCTGCCATTTTGTAAGTAAGGAAACTGAGTCAGAGTAGTTTATTTCCCAAGTCAAGATGAGGAATTAGGATGAAAACTTGAGCTGTACTTAATAGCACTTGAAAGGTAGTTCTAGAGTAAGTTGTCTTACTCTTTGAGAGAACAAAGCCAGCTGACAAAAGGATCAGGAAGACAGAATTGAGCTTAAACTTGATAAGACTTATTTATGAGATGTCTTGGATAAAATGAGAAAGCCCATCAAATAACTTCTTAATTTCTCAATGTTTTTGGTGAATTTTTGTGTTAGTCTTTCTGGAAGCTGTGATCTTGTGATTTATAATAAGAAACATACATATATTTATTTGACCTTCATCCCCTTTTGGGACACAGAGATCTCTGAAACCTTGGAATTTCCTAAGTGAGGAGAGTATCTGTTCTCAACTAAAGTTGGGGGAACCAACCTTATGATGAGAATCTAGAATTTCAGTCCTACCCCCATCCTATCTCCTCGAGAGGAAAGGGATAAATGAGCAATGGTTTGATTAAGCATCTATGGAACGAAACTTCAGTAAGAACTCAAAAAAAACAGTTCAGAGAGCTTCCATGTTAGCAAACATGTGTAGGCTTGGGGGCAGTAGCTCACCAGAAGCAATTATGGGAGTGTCATATTCTTTCCCATACCTTGCATTATTTATTACATTTCTTCCACCTGGCTGATTCTGAGTGACACCTTTTTTCAGTAAACTAGTAATCTATTAAGCAAAACATTTCTCTGAGTTCTATGAGCTATTCTAGCAAATTAGTTGCACCCAGGGGTAAGGGGGAGGGGACTTTAAGACGTTCTATCCAAAGGGAGTGAGTCAGAGCACTAGTAACAAAATGGCATGTGTGATTGATAACCGAATGGAGAGAAAAACCCACACATAAAATTATGTCAGATTTGGGCCCTCCCTGGTGGCACAGTGGGTTAAAGTACAGTACTAAGCAGTGAGCTGAGCCACAACCGCTTCAGCAGGAGTTCAATCCCCACCCAGGAGGTGACCCACATGGCACAGCAGACCTCTCCTGACCCGCCCGCTGCTCCCCTCAGCAGTGTACTGTGACAATCTGCTTGTTCTGCCTCCCACTCTGTCTCTGGTGGATCCTCTCACCGCCCCTGCACCTCTGGCCTGTACCCCAGTTCTGTATGCATAAATCAATAAATCTTTAAAAAAAAAATTCTGTCAGAATCTCTGACAGAATTTCTTAGAAGGAATCTCTAAGGTTCAGGAACCTGCTAGAAAAGACAGTGAAATTTTAAATCAGCCTCCTGAAAACTAGAGCTGATAGCTGATGGACATCCAGTCAGTTCCTTCAATGACAATATAGGACAAAGACTGCAGCTTGAAACCCCTCCTTGGGACCTGCCTTGGAGACTAACAAGTACCTCGATTTCTCCAGTTTCTGACTACCTCAGACTTTTTCCTCAAAGTACTGATAAGCTCTCTAAGAAAATAGTTGGTGTGTGTTTTGTTCTTTCTACTGTGGTCTCTCCCTAGTTAGTGAGAAGGGAAGATCAAAGTTCAGTAAGACAGAGTCATAGCACAAAATCATGGAAAGTACCAGCACAGGAGGATGAAGCACTAAGTTACCATCATGCCTGATACCAGATGTTTTGTTTATCTGTCTCAAGTCCTTGGAAGTTTGCCCATTACTCTGCTTTGTGTCTTTCTTCATTCACGGTATTTTTTATCCCAGCCTGTAAATATTAGAATACTGAGGTGACAGATTCAAGGTGGCTGCTTAGGCTCGTTTGATCACAAGTAATGGGAAGTAGAGAATACTTAGGAGGAAACAAATGCAATAGGAAAAACAGAAGTCTCTCTAGAAACCAGGGACAAGAAAACGAGCTCAGGACCCTAGCTTGGTGTTGAAGAGCTTGAGAGCCATCAACCTAACTCTAAGAATGAAGGATTCTTGTTACCTCTTTTTATTTACAGCTCCCATCCTTAAAGTGACCCAGTTTCTCTTTACTTCAACCACTTCTCTTGTTACCAATCGACAATC